GCTCCTCCACCTCCATCCTCAGTGTTCCTAGGAGGGTTGCCGCTCGCATTCGTCTCCTCCTCCTCCTCCGCTCGCATTCGTCTCCTCCCTGCTGTGCTCCTCCTCAATGTCTGTATCATCGGATGTTGTTGCCGCTTCGGGGAACATGTTTGTTAGTTCCCTGAAATAAAACACCCTAACATCACAACCTGTATCTAAAAATTACCCAATCCAACCACTAATGTTGTTGCATCACTTGAAGAAATGATGGTTGTAAAAATTGAAAGTTTCAAATTAAAAAAATGTTGAAGTAAAAATGTACTCACCGCATCCTCCGATTTACTGATCTCATTGACCTTAGGATATACCCACTCCTCCTCAATCTTATCTCTCTAGCGTTATTTGCTACCATATCGTCGCTTTGGTACTCCATTGTAATCTAAACATTTAAGGTAGTGGTATTTATTAAATTGTTATATATCTGGAATAAATCAGGAAATAAATCAGGGAATAAAATGAAAAGAAAAAATAAAAAAATCTAATTGTTCCTAATTATTGGTAAGTGTAACAAACGCTCCCCGTGCACATCTCTAGACCTCAACAAGATGACTATTCAATACTCATGTGTAGAAAGTCAATAGACTAAGGTCGGTACTAAGCACTGAACGGAGGATAGTAAGCACACAAACACAATAACCTAAGGTACCTGAAGCGACGTCTCTCGGCACCCCTATACCTTACTTCAAAGTGCTGAGTCGTGGAGACCAGCCTATTTCGCTTCAGGTGGGCAACAATTTAAAAAAATGTCTTAAGCTATTGCAAGTAATGAAAAAAATGGACTATTAACAATAAAAAGCAAGTATAAGTAATTTAAAACAAGTATAAGCATCTAGTAAATAGTGTTGAAAGTAAAGGTAAATCACCTGTTAAATTCACTTTGAAAAGTATGTATGTCTTTCTGTAACTACGATAATCGCAAAAAGAGGTGGATTGCTTGTGCTTTCAGTCTTTTATGCCGGTGTATCCGTGCTCGAATTCTATTATTCGAAACCAAACAGATTCCTCCATTATTATCATTTCTTGTAGGGGCACAAACGCTATATATTTCGACTTTCGAAATATAAATTCCATCGATTGTCTTACACATTCAATTATCCAAGCACTTGCTCTAATAGACTTGAAACTTGGTATATAGGTATCAGATACTCTGGTGTCAAATTTGGGCTTTGTATCACCAAAGGATCTACTGCGCATACGCAAAACTCAACTTGCTCTGATCGATTTGAAACTTGGTACATATATAGTGAACTCATAATACGACATTTCATTTGCACTTAATCAGCCATATACTCAGCCACATATTTGCACTTACGCACAACAGCTTATATTCCTATTGTATTTACATTCGCTTTTTATCCTAGCTTTTCTATTCGCTTTGTTTTAGTTAATCCCCTATAACGAGCTGTTTTATTATAGTTTTGTAAATAGTAAAAATGATTAATCGAGTTCTGGTACAGAGAAAAACAAGTCGTCTCAACTCTTCGCTTCTGCACACACCTAGGTGAGAAGTTATATATATACAAACTAACACACAAATTAGTTAGTGAAAAAAACAACAACGCTTTTACTAAAATGGTGACCACGCTTTTTATTTGATTTGCCCTTGTCAAATTCCTCGCTATTTGATAGGCCATATTTTTCATAAAGCTCAATCTTAACAATGAATGACGAAACACCAACTGCCAGCACCTCAACAGGTTCGCTTACTTTCTCCAATGCCATGCTATCTCCAGTCGCTGCGTTTTGGCCGACTGATCCCGTTGTCTGGTTTGCACAAGTGGAAGCCCAATTTTTAACACGCAATATCACATCTCAAGTCACCAAATATGCCTACGTGGTGGCTTCACTGCAACCTGAAATTGCACAAGAGGTACGCGACCTGCTTGTCAATCCTCCTACAGCAGAGCCGTACGATCAACTCAAAGCAGAACTGATTAAGCGCACTTCAGCTTCTGAGCAAAAACGTTTTCACCAGCTTTTGACTTCAGAGAAACTTGGTGATAGAAAGCCCTCGCAACTTCTCCGCAAAATGCGACAACTTCTTGGTGACAATCGTTTCGAAGACAGCCTATTGCGAAAAATATTTTTAAATCGGCTGCCTATCAACGCTCAGCTGATTTTAGCCTCTACTCCCGAATCAGTGGCTACCCCTGCACCCCCTGTTGCTGCTTTTGCTGCCTCCAACACAACACCACCAAGTGAAGTTGCCGAACTCCGTCAGCAAATAAGCACCTTATCTGCACAAGTACAAGATCTGGCCAACCGTTATACTTCACAACCTCGTTCTGGTCCACGTGGTCGCAGTCCCACTCCATCACGCTCTCCATATCGTCGAAATTCAAGCACTGAACGTCACGCAAGTTCTCAATGTTGGTATCACTGGCGTTTTGGTTCTGCTGCCCGCAAATGCAATCCACCATGCTCCTTCACATTCAAGCCTTCTGCATCTCAGCAGCAGGAAAACTTCCCCGCCAGCGGCTAGAGGCGACAAGTCTTCCTGGCACCCTACACCAAAGTCGCCTATTCTATGTCACAGACCGTCCTACTGGCACACGTTTTCTTGTCGACACAGGCGCTGACGTAAGTGTTCTTCCTCCTTCACGCTTTGAAAAGCAGCACCCTTTTCTATCACCCTACAAGCTGTCAACAAATCTCCAATCTCAACATATGGTGAAAAATCCTTGGCTCTGGATTTAGGACTTCGCCGTAATTTTCAATGGATTTTTCTTATTGCTGACGTCCCAATTGCTATTATTGGTGCTGATTTTCTTGCCCACTTTGGCTTGAAAGTGGATGTGCGCCAACGTAAATTAATTGATACGACAACTACCTTGTAAATGGTATCAAATCAACACACCCTTCACCAAGGCCAATGTTTGCTCTTCCAGACACAACTTCTCCATACCAAGCCCTTCTCAAGAAGTTCCCTGCACTGGCCCGTCTATGTTATAAAGAATCTGCTGTCAAACACTGTTACCCATCATATTCGAACCAACGGTCCACCTGTTTACTGCCGTCCACGACGCCTCGCACCAGATCGTTTAGCTGTCGCCAAAGCCGAGTTTGACAACATGCTACAGTTGGGCATCATTCGTCCTTCGGAAAGTAGTTGGTCGTCTCCACTCCACATGGTCCCTAAACCTACAACTGGCGACTGGCATCCTTGCGGTGATTACAGAGCCCTCAACAAAGTAAAAGTACCAGATCGATACCCAATCCCATATATTCAGGATTTCTCTGCAACGCTACATGGTGCAACTATATTTTCAAAGATTGATCTCGTCCGTGCCTACCATCAAATTCCAGTGGATCCCGATGATGTGCCCAAGACTGCCATCAGTACCCCTTTTGGATTGTTTGAGTTTGTCAGAATGCCTTTTGGTCTTCGCAACGCCGCACAAACATTTCAACGGTTCATGGATGAAGTACGTCGCGGATTTGATTTTTTCTACGCATCCATTGATGACCTACTCATCGCCAGCTTTTCTGAATCAGAACATTTACACCATTTAGAACTTGTTTTCACACGCCTTTCCGAATATGGTATAGTCATAAATCCTGCCATATGTGTTTTCGGCGCTCTTTCCATCGACTTCCTGGGACACAAAATCTCTGCTGGTGGTATTTATCCTTTGCCTGACAAAATCAAAGCCATCAAAGATTTTCTACCTCCAACTTCTCTTCGTAAACTCCGAGAATTCCTTGGTTTTATCAACTTTTACCGACGCTTCATTCCTCAGTGTGCCACGATTCTACAGCCACTCACAGACCTCCTGTCTCCCAAAAACAGTAATCACGACCATTTTCCTCTCAAAGGTGATGCTGCATCTGCTTTTACAGCAATTAAAACAGTCTTGGCTAATGCTACGCTTTTGGTACACCCCTCTTCAACTGCTCCATACTGCTTAATGGTTGATGCGTCAAATTCTGCAGTTGGTGGTGTTCTTCAACAACACATTGACGGCATCTGGAAACCAATTGCCTTTTTCTCCAAACGTCTACAGCCGGCAGAAATCAAGTATAGTACTTTTGGTCGTGAACTATTGGCTGTTTATCTGTCCATCCGTCATTTTCGCCACAATTGGAAGGCCGCCGTTTCTACGTGTTAACAGACCACAAACCGCTTACCCACGCTTTATCTGCTACACCTGACCGTTATTCTCCTCGCGAGACTAGACACTTGGATTACATTTCCCAGTTCACTTCAGATATTCGTCATATACATGGCAGTGCAAATGTTGTTGCTGACACCCTATCTAGAACAGATAGAAACATTCTTCAAACTTCCTAACCACTTGATTTTTTACTTCTTGCCAAAGCTCAACAAAACGACCCTGATTTGTCTCTTGTACAGTTTTCTTCACTACGCCTCAAGGAATTTCCTCCACAATCTTCAACAGTCACCATTCTCTGTGACATCTCAACTGGCCACCCATGACCATATATTCCTTTGTGTTATCGTCGCCTCATTTTCGACCAGTTGCATTCCATGTCCCACCCTGGAATTCGAGCTACACAACATCTTATCACTCAGCGATATGTTTGGCCAGGAATAAATAAGGATATTCGCAACTGGACTCGATCCTGTGTACCGTGCCAAAAGTCGAAAGTTACTCGCCACACTGCTTCACCCCATTGGCACTTTCTCTACACCAGATGTTCGTTTCGACCACATACATATTGACATAGTTGGACCTCTTCCACCATCTCAAGGTTTCAAATATCTCTTGACATGCATAGATCGTTTCACACGATGGCCTGAAGCCATTCCACTTGCTGACATTACAGCTGAAACTGTCCCCCGCTCTTTCGTCACACGTTGGATTTCTGTTTTCGGTGTCCCTTCTACCATCACAACTGATCGCGGGGCTAAGTTCGAATCTGCTCTTTTTGCGTCACTGACGTCGATTCTTGGAATCAAGCGGATCCACACAACAGCCTATCATCCTTGCGCAAATGGCATGGTTGAACACCTCCATCATCAACTCAAGAGCTCAATCAAGGCATCTTCTGGTCCATCACGTTGGTGTGAAAGTCTGCCACTAATTCTTCTCAGCCTCCGGACACTTCTGAAACCAGATCTTGTCTACACTCCTGCACAACTGGTGTATGGTTGTAACCTACGTCTTCCTGGTGATTTCTTTACCTCTTCTCCAGAGTCATATGTTTTGGACCCTACAATTTATGCACAACGTCTTCAATCTACTATGCAAAGTCTTCGGCCTACACCACCTCGCAAACAGGATACCAAGTTTCATCTTCCGTCAGCCTTAGCATCTTGTAAGTTTGTCTTTGTGCGTCATGATGCCATTCGCAAGCCACTTCAGCCACCATACGGTGGGCCTTACAAGGTGCTTCAACGTCAAGACAAGCATTTCGTTCTAGAGATTGCTGGCACACATAAAACAATCAGCATTGATCGCCTCAAAGTGGCCCACTTGGATCCTGATTGTGACTCTTACATATCAACAGAAAACCAATTCTTCCCAGTCATTGACAACACACCAGTTTTCTCTAGTCACCAATGCACGACACGTTCAGGGCGCAAAGTTCATTTTCCAGATCGCTTTGGTTTCTGAAGTCCCCATATTCAAACTTATATCGACTGTTTCGCTCCTCTTACATTCTAGAGGGGGGGGGCTCTTATAGTGAACTTATAATACGACATTTTATTTGCACTTAATCAGCCATATACTCAGCCACATATTTGCACTTACGCACAACAGCTAATATTCCTATTGTATTTACATTCGCTTTTTATCCTAGCTTTTCTATTCGCTTTGTTTTAGTTAATCCCCTATAATGAGCTGTTTTATTATAGTTGTGAAAATAGTAAAAATGATTAATCGAGTTCTGGTACAGGGAAAAACAAGTCGTCTCAACTCTTCGCTTCTGCACACACCTAGGTAAGAAGTTATATACATACAAACTAACACAAAAATTAGTTAGTAAAAGAAACAACAACGCTTTTACTAAACATATAGGTAATCACATACCCTGATGCAAGTTCTGGTATCGGCATCACCAAAGGACCTACTGCGCTTGCGAAAAACTCAACTTGCTCTGATCGATTTGAAACTTGGTACATATAGGTAATCACATACAATGATAATAATTCTGGTTTCGGCATCACCATAGGACCTACTGCGCATGCGCTAAACACCTAAAATCTCAAAAAGCACCTCCTCATCCTACATGCCATCCTCCTACACAGTGACCTCCTACGCAAACTCCTCCTCCTGTATATCATTCTGCTGCGCAGTGCCAGCTGAGTTGATATCCTCGTATGCTTACCTACTTAGTTATGATGGCTGGGTACAACTTCCTAGGTGGCATCAACTGCCATGGGTACTTGGATAGAAGGGGTTTCCGTCTCTCTATAAAAACATGGAATCGGAAGAGTTCTGTTTATCAATTTTTAACATGGTTATTTGTGATGGCTGGGTACAATCATACTGAGATGGCATCGTTTGCCATCGGCACTTAGATAGAAGGGGTTTCCGTCTCTCTGTAAGCAGAAGGAATCGCTAGGATTATGTGTATAACTTTAAACATGGTTATATATGGTGGCTGGATACAACTTTCTAGGTGGCATCATTTGCCATGGGCACTTGGATAGAAGGGGGTTTCCGTCTCGCTATAAAAACATGGAATCGGAAGAGTTCTGTTTATCAATTTTTAACATGGTTATTTGTGATGGCTGGGTACGATCATACTGAGATGGCATCGTTTGCCATCGGCACTTAGATAGAAGGGGTTTCCGTCTCTCTGTAAGCAGAAGGAATCGCTAGGATTATGTGTATAACTTTAAACATGGTTATATATGGTGGCTGGATACAACTTTCTAGGTGGCATCATTTGCCATGGGCACTTGGATAGAAGGGGGTTTCCGTCTCGCTATAAAAACATGGAATCGGAAGAGTTCTGTTTATCAATTTTTAACATGGTTATTTGTGATGGCTGGGTACGATCATACTGAGATGGCATCGTTTGCCATCGGCACTTAGATAGAAGGGGTTTCCGTCTCTCTGTAAGCAGAAGGAATCGCTAGGATTATGTGTATAACTTTAAACATGGTTATATATGGTGGCTGGATACAACTTTCTAGGTGGCATCATTTGCCATGGGCACTTGGATAGAAGGGGGTTTCCGTCTCGCTATAAAAACATGGAATCGGAAGAGTTCTGTTTATCAATTTTTAACATGGTTATTTGTGATGGCTGGGTACGATCATACTGAGATGGCATCGTTTGCCATCGGCACTTAGATAGAAGGGGTTTCCGTCTCTCTGTAAGCAGAAGGAATCGCTAGGATTATGTGTATAACTTAAACATGGTTATATATGGTGGCTGGATACAACTTTCTAGGTGGCATCATTTGCCATGGGCACTTGGATAGAAGGGTTGCCGTCTCTCTATAAAGGCAAGGAATCGGTAGGATTCTTTTTATAACTTTTTAACATGGTTTTTTGTGGTTGCTGGGTACAACTTTCTAGGTGGCATCATTTGCCATAGGCACTTGGATAGAAGGGTTTCCGTCTCTCTATAAGGACAAGGAATCGGTAGGATTCTTTTTAAAAGATTTTAACATGGTTTTTTGTGGTCGCTGGAAACTATCATACTGAGGTGGCATCGTTTGCCATGGGCACAAGGATAGAAGGAGTTTCCGTCTCTCTATATGTACAACGTATAGGTAGGATTCCGTGTATAATTTTTTACTTGATTATATGTGGTGGCTGGGTTCAACTTTCTAGGTGGCATCATTTGCCATGGGCACTTGGATAGTAGGACTTTCCTTCTCTCTATAAGCACAAGGAATCGCTAGGATTCTGTGTATACCTTTTTAACATGGTGGTATATGGTGGCTGGATACAACCTACTAGGTGGCATCATTTGCCATGGGCACTTGCATGGAAGGGGTTGCCGTCTCTCTATAAGCTCAAGGAACCGGTCGGATTCTGTGCATAAATTTATGACATGGTTATATATGATGGCTGGGTAGCACTTCCTAGGTGGCATGATTTGCCATGTGAACTTGGATAGAAGGGATTGCCGTCTCTCTATAAGCACAAGGAATAGGTAGGAATTTGTGTATAAAATTTTAACACGGTTATTTGTGATGGCTGGGTATAACTATACGGGGGTGACATCATTTGCAAAGGGCACTTGGATAGAAGGGGTTTCCGTCTCTCTATAAACACAAGGAATAGGTAGGATTTTGTGTATAATATTTAACATAGTTATTTGTAATGGCTTGCTACAACCATACGGGGGTGGCATCATTTGCCATGGGCACTAGGATAGAAGGGGTTTTCTTCTCTCCTTAAGCACAAGGAATAGGTAGGATTTTGTGTTGAAACTTTTAATATAGTTATTTCTTGTGGCTGGGTGAAACCATACTAAGGTGGCATCTTTTGGTATGACCACTGGGATAGAAGGGGTATTTATAAAGAGAGAATGAGGCTCACTGATACTTAAATAGGCCTCCTCTATCTTTAAGGGCAAGGAAGGATGAAGGTGTATGGCTGCTAGATCCAAGTGAACTACAACATATCGAAGAACAAAGTATTTTTGCCACCATATTTTGTTGTAAGGTACCAAAGATGATTTAATTTGTCAAACTTTTAGGCATCTCTCCTATGGTTAAATCTTAGATTTAAAATGTTGAATACCCATAAAAGTCTACTCCACCCTTTCAACCTTCCAGCTAGCGTTATTCCACTTCTTCCAAATTCAGAGCAAAAAGATGTTCAAATATTTGCCCTCATGCAAAGTGTTGTTTTTTTATATAAATTTTTTTGAACTTTTTTGCTTCATTTATAAACGTCAGCAAGGACGCAGAAAAAGTGAAAAAAATTGTTTGCGTAAATTTTTTTTTTAGGGAGGGGTGGCTTAAGCATAAGGTAAAATTTTGTTTGAAAATCCAACAAACTACTAAGGTTTCCAAAATTTTCCAACCAGTTCGATGCTTTTTAAGGGGCTAAGCCCACTATCCTCCCCAGCGACACGACCGAACCACGATGATAATAGACAGTGTCGTGTCTTGGGCCCTCCTTTTCATCCTATACGTAAATGATTTGAGCGATGCTTAGAGAAAAGCTCAACAAATATGTATGCAGACAACCCTTGCATAACATGCTCTGCAAAAGACATTGAGGAACTGTGCAAAGACTTAAAAACTGAGGGTAAGAGCATTGCAGAGTGGATGCGGCAAAATAAGCTTAGTTTAAACACCAATAAAACTGAATATATGGTAATTGGTCATAAAAGACGAATTAACCATATCCAGGGGGAGATAAACGTTGAAATAAATGGAGAAAAAATCCTACGAGCCCATGAAGTAAGATATCTCCGGGTCACTATCGATGAAAACCTATCTTGGAAGAAGCAGTACAAGAGGCTTAAGTGTAAACTTAAGAGTGGTCTTTCTTCGTTGAGGAAACTTAAAAACATACTCCCACAGTCGAAATTGGACCAGGTTTACAGGGCACTTTCCGAGAGCCATCTAAGATAGGGTGATGAATTAAAGTCTGTCCGCTACAAAACTTGAACATCTTCAGCGTCTTCAAGACAGGGCTCAAACACTAATTGAAAGTGCTAAATTTGAGGACGGGTGGATCTGTAAATGGCTTTCAGTTTCGAATCTAATTAGATATGACAGGGCCATAATAACATACAAAATGATGAATGGTCTTTGCCCTGACAGCCTTAAAGGTAAATTTATTACTAGATCAGAGATATTGAGGAATTCGACAAGGAATCAGCTTGATATTGACATCCCAAGGCAAAATTTGGAATTCTCAAAGGGAAGTTTCTTTCACTCTGGGGCTAAAACATGGAATGAGATTCCAAGAAACATCAGAATGAGCCCTACAATGTCCATGTTTAAAAGAAACTCAAAAGGATTCCTGCAAAGTTGATAAATTCCCTAAACAAAACACGATCCCTAGGTAGAACAGCAACATCTTTATTTTATATATATTAAAGAAGTAATTGTAATAAAAGTAGTATATTCGTGTGTAAAGATTTTTGAAATGAAAATGAAAAAATGAGAAGTGCTAGAAAATATCTAAGTAAAATCAATTTCAAGATTCACCTGTTTTAAATGTTCTGCATAAATTATTGGCTGATCGGTCAATCATTTCTTCCTTGAAGTGGTCGGAGCAAATTCTGGAATTCTTGCTATGAATCCACTCCTCGCGGCCCATTCATTGTACATCTCTGTATTTTACCATAATCAATTTGAAACCTGAGAAATAAAAAACATCACTAATATAGAATTAATTGGAAGTCAAAGTTTGCATACATTGTGGAATATAATGAAACAAAGAGACAAATTCCGCTCGACCTTTGCCAAATGAAACGGGCCTAAAATACACAAACTGAAATGATAACTTACGAGTGAAAAGTTCTTGGCAATTTGATATTTATTTTGGATTTTTCATCTGAACTTCCATCGCCATCACTTCTGAATAATTCGGCGTCTATTTTCAGCTTTCTTCTCTTATTAAAACCAAAAGCGCAACACTGTATTCCATGATTAGCCATAGCTGTCAATAACAGATTTGGATTTTCCGCGA